TGTCTCTGATTACAGTTTCATTAAAATAGTAATAAGTGTAGCAGACATCCCATCATGAACAATGAAATTGCTATTGCGCTTTTCATAACAAACTATATTTCCATGGAGATATGTGATGGAAGCAGAAGAAGGGAAAGGCAATAGGAGTCTGGCAGCAGAGCAGGGTAAACACTGTTGCTGATGAGCTGAGAGGTTGCCATCAGCAGAGCTGTGATCAGAGCTGTGTTGCTGTGTCTAAGTGCCTGCATATGTGCGTCATTACGTGGGTGTTTTTCTGTGTTCGCTCAACTAGTATGTGTGTGCATTTGTGGAAGTGTACCTGTTTGTGCCTTCATGTGTGTTATGCCAGTGGGATTACAAAAAGACAAATGGAAGAAATTGGAGGTTACTGGGGTGCTGCAAAGTGTGAATAAATCACTTCCAGGCATGCAGTGTTTATCCAGTTTTTCCAAGGCAGCTTCAGAAGTTTGTCTAACACAGCAAGATTTCAACACGTGCAAGGGGAAGATTAACAGGGGCGTTTGCACAACAATACATTTGCACGCCTATTCTTTGATCATAGATCATGGGGCGAGGGGAGATGAAATTGGTGCATCTCTGCAGCAATGACAGCTTTACTGATTCCTCTGCACGAGCAACGCATAAGTGTTCAAATGACTCATGTTGATGTTTAGCCTCTGGTATGATACCAAAGTCCTTTGGTTCTATTTTAGCAACCTAAGGAAACATGATATTTGGAGGAAAGGTGACCAGTCAGCCTTGACTGAGCTGCCTGACCAGCGTCACATAGCGCTCGCAAATCTCTTCTTAGTGCTTCTTTCAACCTTCCTTAACCTGCTGGGTAACAGTAATTCAAATGTCTGCTAAACATCCTGACAAAAATCCATGGCTGCCTCACAGCTCCATGTGTATATCACAGGAATGTTTAAATCTGTTAAGAGGAAAGATCATACCACTGTTTAACTAAATTTTGTCTTACTTTTCAGTGCCCCTCTACTCTATACGGGTTTGGTTCATTGTAGCAGTGCAGTTCGTTCCACAACAGTCCAGTAGGCAACTTAAAAAGGTGTGAGACACTTGAAACCTGCAGGACACTGAGAAAGGACTTTTAATTGAAGTAGGAAACATCTTGAGTCCAGCATCAGTCAGCCAAAAGAAAAATATATAGAGAGTACGGTGTAAATTTAGGTATAATTAAATGAATGTATTGAGCTTTCACTGTTCTCACTTTTACTGATCTCAAACACACACTATTCTGAAAGAGAATATGTTTGTGTCTGGTACATGATCTTTAAACATTTGTGGATTCTCACAAAGCATGCCTGACGTGCTTAAGCTGGATGAACAGAGCAAGGCCAGTGGCTTTTAGCTTTAAAACTGCATTACAAAGTAATGCTGCTTTTTCTCTCTTTGTGTGAACACTGAGGGCAAAGCTGTTCTTGAATGAATTTTATTGGAATTGTCACTGGACTAAGAATTCCAGGGGCTTGGTGCTTGTGTTCAGTGCGAGCTCCGCATGGTGGCTGCTCGACTGACCCACACACTGTGAGCTGTGAATTCACGGGTTCTGGCCCGACAGAAAGGCTCATTTAAACGTGTAATGAAAATCATATAGTGTCTGGCCAGCTTCCCCTGCTTAAGAGAGGTGTGGGTACAAACACATAAATAGATATTGTGAGAGTAGTTGTTTGGATCACAGGATGTTCCAAACAGATCATAATGGACATACAGAAACCACAAAATGACCTTTATGTTATCTTCACACTACAAGCAGCTACATTACACAACAGCCAAGTGTGTCCTGCTACACTGTCACTCAGTCTCTGTTGAAGTGTTGCTCAAACACTTGATGTTGTTAGAAATCTCGTCTGCTGAAAATCAAGTTGTTGTTTTTTTTACCTCGTTAACATGCCCCTGTGAAGTTTTTACCTGTTTATGCTGGAAGATAAATCATGAGCACAATAAACAGTACACACCATGGCTGAGCATTTTCTCTTTGAAACCTGGGTGAACCAATGGAACTCTCAAAAACACAGATGGAGATTAACAAGGTTTCACACAAAACAAAGTGTAGGAGCCAATCCGTAATTCTTCTTTAGAATCAGTCAGTCATATAGGATTGAATGCCTGCAATATTACAACTTCCTACAGTGTAGCATAGAAAAATTCTAGAGTGTTTGAGCAGAGCTGGTGTGCTCCAGTTGCAACAAATGAGGAGGGGCTAGTGTGTAAATCGCCTTCCTAGATTTACACACAAGAGGAAGCAATGGTGTAGTTATATCTAAGCCATTTTAAGATATGAAGGGAATATTTTTATAAAAAGAACTTCAAAGTATGTAAGTTTTAATATATGTAAGATGACAGGTTAAATCAATGACCTGAGAGGGACTATAATGTCATGGTTAAAATTAGGGCTGAAACAACTAATTGATTTAATCGATTCAAATTGATTAATAAAATAGTTGTCAACTAATTTAGTCATCGATTAGTTGCTTAAAAATGTTTTTTTTTCCCGTAAGCGGCTTGTTTTCTTCAAATTTTAAACTAATCTGTTACCAAAGTGTGGCTGCAATGAGCCACCGTTGCCTGTAATCTAGCAGTACAGCAGGAGAAGTAGCCAACAGCCAATAGATGGCCTTGTTTTGAGTCACGTACGCCACAGCAGTCAATGCATTCAGCAAGAGTGCGGCGGCGGCTGGTGAAGGTTTGAAGAAAAAGGAGAAAAGTACAGAGCCCGTCTGGTGACATCGATAGGAAACAAAAACTAACTCGTTTCCATGCATTAGTAAATCGTGGCAACGAGTTATTAATTATCACACGGTGTTTCATCGCAAGAAATCGCAGGATATCGGTGTAGTTCATTCCAAGGTTAAAATCAAATGAAATGAAATCAAAATGCTCCATGTTTCATGCAAGTACACCCGTTATCCTTAATCGACAGCTGGTATGACCGCACTGTGAAATTTGCTCCACAACTTCTCTTGTTTCTTCATATTAATAATGCGAGGCCACAATTTAACTATGTCATTCCCACGCATTAATAACTCGTGGCCACGATTTACGAATGCGTGGAAACAAGTTATTTTTATTACTTATCGACGTCACCAGACGGGCTCCGTAGAAAAGAGATAAATCAGGAGAGAAAACTTCACAAACAAAGTCATCCAAAGTGTGGGAGCGCTTCACACTAAATTTACAAAAAAAAGACAACTGACCTGCAAACGTTAAAAAAATAAATAAAATAACAGAACATTTAGTTAAATAAAATGCTGTAAAATCCACAATTCTCTTGTGTTTTTCTTTTTCTTCATGAAAACATTTTCTTGTAACTTACTTGGGTAAATAAAGGCTAAACAAAAATGTTTGTTAAAAAAACAAACAAAAAAAGATTAATCATAAAAAGCATAAAAAAACAAGAATAATAAAAAAAATTATTAGTTTTTTGGACAAATTAATTGATTACCGAAATAATTGTAAGTTGCAGCCATAGTTAAAAGAAGGAGTAGCACTGGGACATGGATGACAGGAAGAATAAGTTTTTCTTCCATTTTTCAGACAGAACGGAACAGGACACCATAGAGAAAGAGAAACAAAGTAGAAACGATGAAACAACATATGATTGGTTTACACAACACCACGCCGCCTGCCCATCACGCAGCTTCAAGTGCGCATTGGATGGTAATTTGTAGCTCCGTGATACCACCTTTCATTGGAAATGACTTGTTGTCAGGTGCTTTTTAACCACTAGTCTGAGCACACCATTAGTCATCCCTTTTCAGCCAACAAATACGTACACACACATGCAGTATATGTATAAATTGCTGCTCGCTTTCAGAGACATTTCTTCCAAATGGCCCATTAGAGAGCACATAGAAAAATGCAGTGTTTTTGCCGCATGGCAGAAAACAACCTTTATGAAACAAAAGTCCTAATGCAGTGCTGGAAACTAAAGCAGAAGATGAGCAATTTAATATGAGGTGGAGATTAGACTTAGATCCGGTATGGCTGAATGAGAAAACTTGCCTTAGGAGTAAAATTCCCTGAATGTTGGTTATAGTTGAAAAATTTGTACTTTTTGCAGCCATCAGGCTGAATTCTAAATGTATGACAATTCAAAGGGCTACAAGCAAAATCACGTCTTGGCTATCTAAAGGGATGACTGAATAGGCTCTTTCATTTATAGACATAAAGCAATTTATAGAATTAATTGCAAAGTTGGAAAGCTGGCTTTCAGAGAAGTTAGAATCAATAGTGTAGATAAACACCGGACCAGTCCTCCGCTGCATGTACTCAGCCTATTGTGCCTTGATAATCAGCTAAAGTAATCCATTCAGGTTCGGCCTTTCATACAAATTATCTCTACTTTGTTGTTACATACAAGGTTTGCCTGAGTGCTGTCAGACTTTTTTTTTTTTTTTTACAGCTTGCTAAGTAAGACTAAAAGCTATGGACATGTTAGTGAGCAAACATGAGTGTGAAAAGCTGAACTAAGTGGGAATCATCTTTCTAAGCTTTGACCAGAAGACCATTTTTGAGGAACTAAAGACACAAGGACAATGTGATCAGGTCAGAGTCATTCTATTCTGCTGAAAATGTGACCTTAAAACATTTAAACACTAAAAACAAGAATAAATAAATAAAAAGAATGCCTTTCAATTTGCGAAAACTATTCTTTGTCCCTTTTAATCATCAATGTATTTTTACAGTTATTGTAGAATTATAAATAGAAAGGAAATGTTGCAGTAAGGCCTCAGTTAAATCTAATCCTTGTTTCCTGCTGTCTAACTCTGTGTTTGCCTGTTTCAGTGCAGACAGAACACAAATCCTCATTGATGTGCCTTCAATTCATCCTCCATGGAGCACAAAAAGCTTCCGTGCTTTTACACTTTACGCTCATTTCCACTGAATACAAACAGCATCCTCCCACATTTACTGCCTATTGAAAAGTAATTAACAGCGCTTGTTGACTATGTGAATAGCTGCTCCACAGAGAGACTCACATCTTTTTGAAGTCGCACACGGTGTACTCGGGCCAGTCGATGTAGCACACCACCCGGCCGGGGAGCTGGTCCGTGTTGGAGTAGTAGTACTGAGGGAATGCCAGCAGCAGAGCCAGAACCCAGATCACACCCACCACCACCTTCGTTTCAGTGGAAGACATGCGCTGCTGCAGAGGGTGGATGATGGCCATGTACCTGCAGGGACACAGAGATGGGCAGAGGCATAGAGATGGTGAGCAACATGTGGAGAGAAATCTGAGCCTTGACCGCTACATCTGGCATAAGGCAGCACCGGCATACTCTGTGACTAGTTTGTGCTGCACTGTGTTGAAGGGTTCAGTGCCAAAGCAGGCCAAACCACAAAAAATCCAAAGTTGAGTTTTCTGTTTTTGTGAGAAGTGTTTCTGGTCTACCAGTTCGTGGCAAAGTGATCCAACCAACAGCCCACTAGTAATGTCACAGTACCACAGTTTGGCCCATAATGGTTTTAGCATGAAACTTTCGTGGCAAACTGGGCCAAGCCACAGGAATTGTTGACCATTATATCGCAGGTAGTTGCACGTGAGTCAAGATGGCGGACAGCGCAACCTCAAGCCCCATGAAAACTCATCTCGTAGGTATGGTAAGGTAAAATAAAAACTTAATGAACCACCACAAGCATCTATTTGTACCCCATGGTCCTCAAAAGTATCTCTAGTTCCTTACGATGACCCATGTAAACTCTTCAGTGCTGTTTAGCAAGACAAACCTTGAATCGCTTTTCTTCTCAAAAAGTAGCAAATGTGATATGGCCCACTTTGGCACTCAGCGAAAGGAAAGGCAACATTAAAACTTAAATAAGTCATTACAGAGTAGCTGTTTCAATCTCTGGACATATAAAGACTCCTCCAACTACAAGGATTTTCTTTTTGCAACACAAAATTTTGACCTCATTTTTCTCTAAAGCTAGTAAATGTGGTTTGGCCCACTTTGGCACTAACCCCCTTTGTTTTTAGAGACATCTATATCAAGTAGATGCCAAAAAAATATGTATAAAAAGTATCAAATAGGTAAACACAGACTGACATTTTTAGAAATGTGTGTTTTTGCTGAGGGCTACATGAGATTATTGACATCTTGTTAGTCCATTACTTATAAAACCACATTCTGCAGCCAGTTAGCTTAGCATAAAATCTGGAAAAAGGAGAGTAGCTAACCTATATCCAAGAATACACTGTACCTCCTACATATACAGCCCAATCTTTTACATTCCTACACAACTAAACTGCATTCTTAGTCACGTTTTGATGGAAGTATATGTTGTTTCAGATTATGTTTGTTTGTGATGAATCACAAAAACATTTCAATTTAATATATCTTTGCCATTTATTTTATTGCCTTTTTCAGGAAACCAGTTCGATCTGTAACAGAGTGGGACTCATCACTCTGGAGGAGAAGCTTCAAACATGTAATGAGAGATTTGCACTTTAACCCTCTGATTTCTGATTATTTTTGTCTCTACATTATTGCTTTTATTACATAGGACAGCATAATGTAAACAGGAAGCAGGAGGGTTGTTGCTCCCTGGCCAAATAGGTTACCTAGCAGGCGGCTGTGGCTCAGATGGTAGAGCGGTTGTCCTAAGATTGGCGGTTCGATCCCCACCCCCTCCACAGTTGAAGTGTCCTTGGGCAAGACACTGAACCCTAAGTTGCTCCCAATGGCAGGCTAGCGCCTTGCATGGCAGCTCTGTCACCACTGGTACATGAATGTGTGTGTGTGTGAATGGGTGAATGAGAAACACTGTAACGCGCCGCAAAGGTAGAAAAGCGCTATACAAGTGCAGACCATTTACCATTTACCTGACCTCAGTGCAACAAAGCATGCACTCCATCAAGATGTAAAACAAGCAAGCAGTCAAACTGTCGGTAGTGCAGGTCTGCAAAAGCATTAGCAGATATCAGGTGTCTGCTCTCTGTATGTAAAGATGGATGACGTGTCATCACTTCCTCCCACTGTACAAAGGTCAAGCCAAAATATTGCAAAAATGCCATCCTGAGCTGCTGGCAGCATTTGCAGCCAGACTCTTTAGACAAGTGAGCAGGAAGTGGAGGCGTAGTACGAAGGTTCCTCCTCTTGCCGGTCCAAGTAAGAACACAGACTCCTCGAACTTTGTGTAGTTGCACACTTGATGGTCAATTTAGTATTGACAATTAGGTTAGCCCTCAAAACACAAACTTAACTCACTGAAAAACTCTTTTGTGGTGATGAAAAGATGACAAGAAATCACATGGTTAAGGAAAGTTCTTCAGGTTTTCAGGTGCCTCCACACAGCTTGAATAAATAACTAATCAAAACCAGACTTCCTGATAAAACAAACTGTATTTATTGTGACAGAAACCACATCATACTTTGATTGTTTTTAGTTTGGTACTTGTTTCATCAGCAAACATGAAGGAGGCCTTGCTTCATGTCAGTATACAGTCAGTAGTACTGAGGCCCACACAAACAGTGGAATCTCAACACCATGTTTCCACTTCCTGGTCTTTACTGCATTGAATCTGTCTACAAATAACATCAGCATCTCAAAATGGCAGCACCAACTTCTGAGATATTTTGGGCTCACAGTCAGTCTATAGTTGGAACCCTCAGGCTGTCATTGACTGCAAAGAATTTGACACCAAATGCTAAGCAAGGCGACTCATTGAAATTCACATGAACTCATCCAATTAATGTGTCGGAACTGTGTGTAAAAAGAAGTACATGTCTCAAACGTTTCATCTGTTATGGATGGAAACATCCTCAAATTAAAGCTAAGAGCAAATCACTTTAATCACTGTCACTGTTCCTTTGCTACACAACTGTCTATAAGACACTCATTGCACTGCACGTAGCAGTCTTTCCAGTAGTAGACATAAATATAGCATACATTTGTAAGAAAACAACAGTGTAGAGTTACATCTAAGCCACAGAACTCCATCAAATAATTATTTTCATCAACAAAACAACTAAATATTAAACATCAATAGTCAGAGATGAGGTTTTAGGGTATTAATCAATGACTGAAAAAGGGACTCTGAAGTTGCAGTAGGTAGAAATCTAGAAAAGACAAAAAAGCACAAAAACAACCACAAAAAAACATTTAAAAATACATTTCTGCTGTTGCATACATTATTTTTTTTTTTTTTTACATAAACCCTGCTAGATTATTTCCTCATGGAAAATGCACTGTCACACAGCGCAGTTTTCTGAGCTAATGGAATACAGACTTTTTAGAGATACGTAGTTGTGTATAAACTAATAATTAACTCAAACATTTTACTGCACAGTCAGCACTTCTAATTTTCATACTTTAGGTACATATTGCTGAGAATTCTTAGCTATGCAGTGTGACGTCAGTACTTTCCCTTAAAGATCGAAATCCTTCTTCCACCACTGACAGCTGTGCAAATGGAGGATTAATTGTGTGATCACAAGTTATTTAAGTCCTTGATGTAAGTAAAGTGTAAAACTGCTCATTTGTGTGAGAGTCATAATCTTAAAATAGACTTCTTGAAGGGTAACTTGAACTCTGTGTTGAAACACAATCTGCAGAATGTGAAAATTCACACACACTCACCCACGCAGCACGGCAAAAACATGCAACATTCCTCTTTATTTCAGGTTTACAGGAAAACAACTTTTAACACTTTGATCTGTTAAAAATCACTTTATAGGTCAGACTTCTTTTGTGCGGACAGGATCATGTAACGAGGCTCTGTGGAAAGAAACCGACACCGGAGTTACATTATAAAGTAAGTGTCTGCCATGAAATGAGCTGTTAGAATTCTATTCAAATGATTCCCCTCAACATCTGAATAATAATTTCACATTGTCATAATCATGCTCCTACTCAGAGGGATGGCGAAGTGCATGAATAACTTAAAATGACCTCGTACATCATTAGAACTGAGCCTCATTAGGAAATCTGTGTAAAACTCCTTTGCTGGCGGAACACATTTCTCCTCAGCAAAAATACAATACTTCACAGCAAGGGGAGAAAATAATTCATACTGCACTTCAGTTCGTTTTTATTCCCTACATTGATTTTTGCCTAAAGTATGTCAGAGATTCACTTGTATTGATTTCCCTGCATCAAAACTCTAAAGTTTGTTCTTCCTTACAGCTCAATAATCTGGAAACGATATTAATCCAGTAGGGTGATGATTTTATTGAAATCATTTCTCAGGGTCAAATTTTATTTCTATGCTTCATATATTAAAAATCCCACAGTCCGTAACTGTGCGCTATATGCTGTATATTCATGTCTACACACCATCAACATCAGTTATTATTTTTTTGCTTCCCTTCAAAGCAAAGCTCTCCAATCAAACGCTGTCCTGAGCCAACGAGGTCTAATTAAAGGCTTAATCCCACTAACAACCCAAATGAATCTGCTAAATGGACGTCCTCACTCTAATTATATCAGGCACAAGAGGAGGCCTTTGAAATCAAACGCTCCCTGTGGTCTGCTGAAAGTGGGAGATCACAGCCTCGACTTTACTTTGGCTCTGATTCAAACAGCACTGGCAGCCATGTGGCTTTTTTCTACAACGAGGTGAATCACAGTCAGATGATGTCTGATGTCAGAATCAAACACATCTACAGAGGACCACGACCTGCAAGCTCGACAGCCTACATCATCATCGTCATCCTCATCAATGATAGTATGCAAGAACTGCTTGGATTTAGTGTAGCCTGTATGTACAGTGGAACACTGACAGCAGAAGTTTAGTCATTAAATGAGGTCTTACCTTGTCTGTACTCTTTAATAATGGAATTTATCATGTAAGATGATACAATCTTCTCAGAAGGAATGTGATTTCAAGATACACATTTCAGAAAAAGAACAATAACCTTATTACAAACAAACACATCATTTAGGATTTAATACCAAACCCAAATCCTGTGCCAATCTGCTTATTCCATCCAAATCCTCTATAATCCTTTATTGACTCTAATTAGGTTCAGCTTTTAACATTTACAGGACAATAATGTTGTAAAAACTAAAACAGTGAGTTTAGATTTTTAATCAACTTTTGTTTGCTGAGAACCCACAAATGTTATGATGCTATAGCTGACAGCTGGTTAGCTTAGCTTAGCACAAAAGCTGGGAACAGACTGCTAAATATGTCCACTAAAGCTCACTAATTAATCCATTTTTATCCTTTTTGTTT